TGTGTGTGTATATGTGTATGTGTGTGTATGTGTGTGTATGTATATGTGTATGTGTGTGTGTATATGTGTATGTGTGTATGTGTGTGTATATGTGTATGTGTGTATGTGTGTGTGTGTATATGTGTATGTGTGTGTGTATATGTGTATGTGTGTGTGTATGTATATGTGTATGTGTGTGTATGTGTGTGTATATGTGTATGTGTGTGTATGTATATGTGTATGTGTGTGTATGTGTGTGTGTGTATATGTGTGTGTGTGTGTGTGTGTGTGTGTGTGTGTGTGTGTGTAACTCCATGGGTGGAAAAGAACCATGAGAGTGGAGTCCTTGGAACTCAAACAGGTCCAGTCCACCCTCTTCTTCCCCACTTAAGGTAAAGTTCTAGAGTATTCCACTTGGGGTGTTAGGTTAGGGAAGGAGGTCCAGCTGGTGGGGATGAGGCTTCAAAATGCATGGAGATACTTCTGGATCCATCCAAGGCCCCATTCCCATTGAGGGTGCATGTGACCCCTACTCTCATAAGGGTCCTCTCTTGCTCTTCCCCTGCCAGCTTTAGAATGGCTTCCACACCCCTCCCTATAGGCCCCCCGTTTAATTCGCAGCATGGTTCTCCTCTCTGAACTTCACCAGCCCCAACAGATCCATGTCAAGAGTCAGCAGCCCACAAGCCAAGCATGCTGTCTCTGCTCCCGCCCCCCATCAGCCTACACAGCTCAGGATGCTGTCCCTGCCCCCCCATCAATCCACACAGCCCAGGATGCTGTGTCCCCGCCCCCCCCCATCAGCCCACACAGCCCAGGATGCTGTCCCTTCACACACCTGCCCTGTAGGCCCACAAGCCAGGATGCTGTCCCCGCCCCCTTCATCAGCCCACACAGCTCAGGATGCTGTGTCCCCGTCCCCTTCATCAGCCCACACAGCTCAGGATGCTGTCCCCGCCCCCTTCATCAGCCCACACAGCTCAGGATGCTGTCCTCCCACCTCATTCCCCTCCCCTGCCCGTCAGGCACCACTTCCCAGAGACCCTGCCTTCTTTAGGACACAGTCTCCAGGTGAGCACTCCAGTAACTCCAGTGATGTCACACTACTGCCCTTTGCCCAGACACACACCCCAAATGCCTGGCTAGGAAAAGTAGAGGGACCTGGAGAGGCCAGACTGCCCGGAGATGGACTTAGCTCCCTGGCCCTTTGGCTCTGGCCCAGATCCAGTCTCACTGGTCATTCAGATCCAGCTGTGACCCGATCCCTGTCCTCCCAAGCCACCCTGAGTGTCCTGACAGGCCCTCGGTACTCCTCCTTTAGACTCCTGAGACTGGATCCCTTTCTAGCCAAAGATTCTCCTAACCGTGCATGGATTCTGGTCTGTGTCGCTAGGCAGCTTTCTCTCACTGCATGAGGTTGAAGGTGACTCAGGTGAGGTCTGTCCTCCGTTTCCCCATCTTGGAAGGCACTCCAGGGGAGCAACCCTTGAACACAAGCACTCAGGCCAATCTACCCTGAGCCAGCAGGTCAAGTCCACCCTTCCTTGGGCAGGGAGAATCTGGCTTTGACAGGAGTGAACTAATTCTCCAAGGAGAATTTGCTCAGCAGCCCAGTTTGGCAAAGGATCTGCTAGCTGAATCATCAAGTCGAGGAAAGCTGATTTTCCAAATACCAATCGCCAACTTAGCAAACACCAATGCTCTTTTTAAAGTGTTTACGTCAGGCAGCTAAACACACAGGCTCTCATGTCTGCCTGTCACGAACATCCAAAGAATGGCCGTCCATCTGCCTCTGCTTCCTCACACTTCAGCTTCACAGAGCTGGGGTTGTAGGAGATACTGTACCCACAAATCCTCCACATGCTGAGCCCTCCCACCATAGTGGAGCCTTATTCATCCAGACTCTTAGATACCCGGCTCCTGGATCATCAAAGGAGGCTGTGCCCAGCATGTTATGAAATCCCACACATATCCAGGATATCAGTCAGACTCCTGGTGGAAGCCAGAGAGCACGTTCAGATGTATGCTCACGGAAAGGGGGCATTCACAAGGTGAACAATAAGAGATCCTGGGACACTAAAACAGAAATTATGACAACTACTATCTCTGGTTATCTCAGAGGGGCACAGAGAGCTTCCTGTCTCCTAGAGCTGTGACTGTGGAAGAATCAGGGGACAGAGGCTACAGCCATCATCAGAGAAACATGGCCACTTCTAAACTATGCACAACAAGGAGGCAGCTGGGGGATAGCGACCACTCCTCTTCCTCCCCAGACTCGAACCAGCACCTTCCCTCTGAGCAGTCCCGATCAGGCTCACAGCCAGGAGCCCAGGTAAGGCGGCCCAGGAGAGCTGTCTAGGGAGGAGCTGGTAGGGAGTGGGTGTGGAGGGAGATCAGAAAACCAGCTTATCCTTCCAGAAACCCTGGCTTAATTCTAAATCGCTCATCTCTCCTCCTTAGAAATGTGTGGAACAAAAAAGGAAATAGAGCCCATTGTCAAGCTCCATTTCAGAGAACTGAGAGACCAGAGGGATTTGGAAACTCAAAAGTCAAGTGAGTTGAAAATAACCTATGTGGGAAGCCGAGGAGTGGAGTAATAGATGGGAGCGACCCGCAGGGCAGGGCGACCTCTGTCTCACAACACACCTCCAGCAGAAAGGACTCCTGAGGACAGAGCAGGTACCCATGAAAGTACAGGTGTGGGGACATCAGAGAGTCCCTGGGGGCTGCCACCTGTGAGAGAACACTGGCAGTAGAATCTTCCTGAATTTTGACTAAGTTTTGAAAGACAGAAGGATCTTGGCAATACCTCAGGAAAAGAAGGACTCTCCCCTACCACACCTCCTCCAAAATACTGCTGAAAATGATGCTCCATTCTATCCTGTTATGCCCAGATTGCAGGGACCCCCAAAAGACCACCACGGAGACTGAATCCCGAATGTAAAAGCAAAGAGCCTTTATTTTCAAGCTCGGAGCTTGGACTCTCTGTCCAATGTAGAAGTGAGAGCAGAAACTCCCGAGCCCAGGCAGGGTGGGGGTTTTATCATAGCAGAGGTTTGGGGCGAGGGGATTTCTAGGGTTCAGGACAATGACTGGCTGACATTTGTCTAGGGGTATCTGTAAAAGGGAAATAGGTGTGTGCTAGGCTCTGGGACATTTGGTGATCTTATGTAAAGGTTGGACCGTTTTTGGGGGGATGTCTGGTACTTCCCCTTAGAGGCCGGCCCATACCTGGGTGGCCCCCTGGGTGGTGTCAGCTTGTGGCTTTTCCTGGATCTGGGTGTGGCCTGCCAATAAGCCTGTCACAGAAGCTGTGTCTGGGCCTCTAAACCTATCATGGCTGCTGTGTGGTCACTCAAGCTGTTTTGCCGCCCCCCCCCACACACACACACATGAGTCTCAGGTCCCTGGCAGAGGTTCCCATAGAGAAAACACAGGGGCTTCTGCCTGACGCATGTTTCTGTCTTCCAGTGAGCTTGTGTTCCTCCTCCACCTCCCAAATGCTCCCATCTTCCCCAACCACAGCACAGTGCGCAGAACCAGGAAACTGAGAGCAGCACACAGGAAGAAATTCACAAAAGAAGTACATTAACTTAACTAAAGGACTTAAAGTTATCAATCAAATCATCCGTTGTCTTCATTTGAGTTTGTTTGTTTTGCTTTGTTGCTGATTTTGTTTTTGGTTTGTTTTGGTTTTTGTGTGTGTTTGTTTTTTGAGACAGGGTCATATAACCCAAGCTGGCCTTTAATTCACTGCATAGCTAAGGATAGCCTTGAACTCCTGATTTTTAAATGAATTTATATTAGTTTACTGGATCAAATTGAACATACTAGCTAGGTAGGCATGGTGACTCACAATTATAATCTCAACATTCAACTGTGGAGGGCCCCAAAACAGCTTGACCACACAGCAGCCATGACAGGCTTAGGGGCCTAGACGCAGCTTCTGTGACAGGCTGACTGGCAGGCAACACCCAGACCCAGGAAAAACCTTAAGATGATACCTTAACCCAGGGGTGAGGAAGTACCTGACACCCCAAACATTCCAACCATTAGATAAAGTGGCCAGATGTCCTTGAGCCTAACACACCTATTTTTGTTTTACAGACACCCCCAGATAATCGTCAGCCAATCAGGGTCCTGGACCCTGGAAATCCCCTCACCCCAACCTCTGCTATGATAAAAACTCTGCCCTACCTGAGCTCAGGGCTCTCGGCTCTCACTGCTGTGTTGGACAGACAGAGGGACCAAGCTCTGGATCTTGAAATAAAGGCTCTTTGCTTTTACATGTGGGATTCAGTCTCCCTGGTGGTCTTTTGGGGGTCCCCGAGATCTGGGTATAACAGGAAAGTGAGGCAGGAGAATTACAGTTTGAGTTTGAGGCTAGTTTTGGCTACAGTGTGAGATCATGTCTCAGAATAAAACAAAACAAAAACACTAGATCAGCTAGGGTCTGGAGAGATGGCTCAGCAGTTAAGAGTATTCACTGCTCCCATGAAGGACCTGGGTTGGCTCCTAGCACTCCACAGAGGCTCACACCTCTCTAGGACCGAAGTTCCTGGAAGACCCAAGGCCCTCCTCTGAGCTCTGTGGGCTCTTGCACACATGTGGTACACACACACACACACACACACACACACACACACACACACACACACTCAGATATAAAATAAATGATTAATTGTAAGATACTAGCTAAACTAAAGACTTTACTGGAATTTCACCAGCTTTCCCACTAATGTCCTTTTGAGGTTCCAGAGTTCCATCTAGGCTCGCACACTGCATTTGGAGGGTATTTGTTGACTCCTGTAGTTTCTTGACATGACTTCCCAAGGTTATGCGTGCCTCTCTCTCTCCTCCCTCTTTCTCTCTTTCTCTCTCTCTCTGTCATGACCTTGACATTTTTAACTGTCCTGATCAGGCTTTGTCAAATGTAATTTGATTTGAGCTGGGTTTGATTTCCCATGATTGGACAGAGGTTTGTGTGTATTTGGCAGAATATCTCAGAGCTGAGCGTGGCGGCTCAAATCTGAAATTCCAGTACTTGACAGGCTAACCTAAGAAGAGCTACTGAGTTTCAGGCCAGCCTGGACCACAGAGTTTGAGGATGAGTTGGGCTATAGTGAGACTCGGCTTCAAAAAGGAAAATATCTTAGGCATGCTTCCTTTCCAGTGCAGGACTCATAGTACTCCACATAATACTTATCTATTTTTCCCTTTTCTTTCTTTCTTTCTTTTCTTTTTTTTTCAATACAGTGTTTCTCTATTTAGCCCTGGAACTCTGTAGACCAGGCTGGCCTCAAACTCACAGAGAGCCACCTGCCTCTGCCTCCCAAACGCTGGGACTAAAGGCGTGCGCCACCACCGCCTCCCGGCAAACTTTGCTGTCCTAACAGTTTGCTGGTGTGCACTGCATAGAGTCAAGGAGCTTCAGTTTGCCAGGCAGCCAGTCTCTAGAACCTTCTCATCCGACAAAGTGGAAACATCTCGTCGTCCCTTCCTCCTAGTCTCAGACAACCAGCCTGTTCTGTGTGTCTGTTTGCTTTACATGTGGCATATACGTGAAATCAGAAACACTTTTGTAACTGGCTTATTCCACATAGTATAATGTCTTCAAGGGTCCTCCCTAAAGTAGCAGAGGTCAGAATTTCCTTTCCTGGGTCCTTTTCTGGAAAGTATTTGGGCCAGCCAGATGGCTTACTGGGTAAAGTTGTCCTCTGAGCCATAATGTGAGTATGCACCCAGACACATAGACACAATAATAATGAATTTTTAAATATGTATTTATTGTATATGCATGTGTGTTTTCATACAGAATGTGCAGGAGCTCACAGAGGTCAGAAGAGGGCACCAGATCCTCTGAAACTGGAGTCATAGGCTGTTCTGAGCTGTGGGTGCTGGGAACTGAACCCGGGTCCTCTGCAGGAGTGACAGCAGTAAATGCTTTGAACTGCTAAGCCATCTCTCCAGCCCCCAAATGTGGATATGTGTGGAGAGGGTGTTTTTGTTTTCTGAGACAAGGTCTCTCTATGTGGTTCTGGCTATCCTGGAGCTCTGTAAGTTACTCAGACTGGCCTTGAATTCACCGAGACCTTCCCAACTCTGCCTTCTAGGTGCTGGGATTAAAGGTGTGCACAACTATGTCTGAACTCCCAAATATTTTTTTAAGAGAAACTGGGGCTGGAGAGATGGCTCAGTTGTTAAAAGCACTTGCTGCTCTTTCTGAGGACACAGGTTCTGTTCCCAGCAACCATATGGGGGCTCACTGCAGTCTATAGCTCCGATTCCAGGGGATCTGCTGCCCTCTTCTGGCCCCAACAGGCAATGCAAATGTGTGGTACCCATACAACTATGCCGGCAAAACACTCATACATATAAAATAAAAATACAATTCAAAATATTAAAATAAAATAAAAGAGGAAACTGTCTGACTGTCCTTCAGACGTCAGCTCCCTGTCTTGCAGTAACTATTTCTGTGTTTTGTCCAGTGCTGCCCACCATTGCCCTCTCCTTTCCACACTGACTAACTGGGAATCTTCTGGAAGGTTGTTCCTTCCCCGGCTTATCGCTGACTTGTGAATGTCACTGTGGGCTCACAACTACTTCCTCCAGATGGTGCCACTGGTTCAGGTAACTGTGCCCAAAAGAACCTTGAAGAAGTGAATCTGCTGATATGGGCAAACTGACGATGCTCTTGAACTCCTCCTGATCCTCCTGCCTCAGCTTCCCAAATCTTGAGAATAAGTGTATGCAACCACACCCAGTAAGATTATGGATTTTTAAACTTTATGAATTCACAGTTTCACACATATATATATCATTCTCCTCATAACCTTCCCCTCCCACTGACCCCTTCTTCTCAACAAGTATATTTTTTTCTTCCCAAGACAGGGTCACACTCTTTAGCCTTTGCTGTTAGAGACAAGATTTTTTTTTTCAAGACAAGGTTTCTCTATGTATCCCTGGCTGTCCTGGAACTCACTCTGTGGACCAGGCTGGCCTCGAACTCACAGAGATCTGCCTGCCTCTGCCTCCTGAATGCTGGCATTAAAGGCGTGCACCACCACTGCTAAGTGAGACAAGATCTTTCAATATGGCTCAGTTTGCCACTGAACTCACCATGTAGCCCAGGCTGACCCCAAACACATGACCATCCTGCCACAGCCCCCGAGGCTAAAATTACCAGAAGTGCCACTATCCCTGACAGCTATTTGCATTTGTAATAGAATGAAGTTCATTTGTTAACATTTCTGTTCCATTTTGGGCTCCCAACCCCCAACATTCTAGTTTATTTTAACTATTTTACCTCATAATATAGGTTCCATAAATCAAGAGCTATCAGAGATAGAGACAGAGAGACACAGAGACCAATGGAGAGAGACAGGCAGACACACACACACACACACACACACACACACACACACACACACACACACACGGGGGTGGGTGTGTGATTGTCTCAATACCTCTGCCACCTTGTGCTGTGGATATCTCTCTGTATAAATAAAATGCTGATCAGCCAGTAGCCAGGCAGGAAGTATAGGCGGGACGAGCAAAAAAGAGAATTCTGGGAACAGGAAGGCTGAGTCAGGAGACGCCAGCCTGCCGCAAATGGAGCAGCATGTAAAGGCAACAGGTAAAGCCATGGAACTCGTGGAGACATACAGATGAACAGAAATGGGCTGAGTATAAGAGTAAGAGCTAGTCAGTGGTAGGCCTGAGCTAATGGCCAAGCAGTTTAATTAATATAAGCTTCTGAGTGGTTATTTTATAAGTGGTTGCGGGGTCCGTGGGGCTGGGCAGGACTGAAGAAAACTCCAGCTACAGCCTTGTTCTGGCTTTCTTCTCTTCTTTCTGCTTGGTCCCTTTCTCTCTGCTGCCCCCTGTAGGTCACCAATGTCCTCATCGCTGAAATAACAAGACAGCCGTGTACGATTTCTTATGGCACACTACATGCACTTTTACATTTCACTTTTGTCTGCTTAACAGTAAAAACATTTTTTTAGATAGGGTCTGTTGACGCAGCCCAGGCTGACTTCAAATTCCAAGGCTAAATGATCTCTGCACTTCAGTTTTCCAGGCACAATGGACTACGGGCAGATGCCATGGAGCATCTTAGTCATTTGCTTGTTTACTTATTTGGGGTGTGTGTGTGTGTGTGTGTGTGTGTGTTCATCGGGTGGAGAAAAGTGCCTTTTACTATGGAGCCTTCACCAGCCAGAAACACACTTTTTGCTTTGTTTGTTTTGTTTTATTTTTCAAGACTGGGTTTCCCTGTATAGCCCTGGCTGTCCCGGAACTCACTCCGAAGACCAGGATGACCTCGAACACAAAGATCTGCCAGCCTTTTTTTTAATTATGAAAAGAATAATAAAATCACATTACACATAGAAAAATCCCACCAGAAAAGCTTTACATCAGAGAAGGCACATGAAAATTATCACCCAACCTTTCAACACGGATTTCAAAAAAAACAGAAGATGCTTAATAAACAATCGTTGTGATGGAAGAAGTCTGTCAGTCGGAACTGTCAGGATTCTGAGGTGAGATGCCAGCCATGGTGGTGGTGGGGGCTTACATAAGCAAGGGGTAAAACAGAAGAGCAGAGGATGTAACAGCGAGTGCAGAAATGACTCTAAGAAGCCCAAGAAAGCGCACCCCACAGTTGGGGACTATGGAAGGGAAATTAAAGGTCTAAGTGGGACTGGGGCATGGTTCAGTGGGTAAAGGCGCCCGCTGCCGAGTCTGGCAGCCTGAGTCTGATGCCGGGTCCCAGTGGTGAAAAGGGAGAACTGATTCCCGTGGTCATCCTCTTACTTCCCCCGTGTGCCGCGGCTCAGGGCACACCGTCACACACAGACAAAAACAGAATCATTTTATAGAGACGGTGTTTGGGAGACAATGGTGGCTATGGCAACAATGTGGGAGGGAACACCAAATGCACACTTGCACTTCTCAAAGAAGAATGTAGTGGGACACAGTACACGTATGTGCCTATATGTAGTGTGAGGTGTTGAGCGGCTAACCCTGGGCCTTCTGTGTGGTCAGTTAGAGT